GGATGCTTTTACAATCTCGTTACAATCGTGATCATGGTGTTTGAAGAAGTTCGCAAGAATTTTTATGATTCCTGGATTACATATAACATTGTATTCGACTTGATCTTCCTCTGTGACCTATTCGTCCTGACGAGAAGACGTGAGTTGAAGTTTGAGATCATTTTTAAGCCGTTTTCTTAATTTTCATCTCAATAACTGCGCTGAAGTGTGAAATAAAAATTCCAGAATTTATCGAAGACGGTATTCGCATGAAAGGCGTGAAAGAAATGTTGATACATCGAATGAAATCGTAAGTAATTTGTAATTTAATGGAAGTTTTTTTGTTTTGTGAATTTCAGTTTTCAAAGCTTTTGTGTACGCAACGAAATAAAAAAATATAAAAAACTGTTTTAGGGTTTACTTCTATCTTGACATACTATGCATTCTTCCGACGGATTTACTACTCTACAAAATGAGAAACCTCTCACTTTGTAGGCTTAACAGACTGTTAAAGGTAGAAAATCTTGCAGTTTTAAAAATTTCAAGTGTATAAATTTGTGTTTAGTGCTATCGTATATCTGAATTCAATGCTCTTACCGAAATTCGAACAACGTTCCCCAACTTGTTTCGGATCACCAAACTGATATTTACTTGCTTTATAATCTTCCACTGGAATGGCTGTCTATACTTCTTTATTAGTGTCTGGTATAACTTTCCAAGTAAGTATTGTTATTGATTATGTAAGTAGCAGGTTCTAAGCGTAAAGCAATCGGTTGGTTGCTAACCACACTCCTTTCCCTATTTAACAAGAATTGGAAAAATTGGCAGCGCCTCATAGGCGCTGGAACGCGTCGCAGCCGTAGCGCATGACGTCACTGATAATTAGGACTCAAACATTCTACAGCTTGAGGATCTAATTTCAGACGCAACAATCGACGACTGGATATTTTCGTATGACAAAATTCCGGACCCGGTTCTGATACAGTGTGGTGTCAATGATGACTATAATATGACCGAAGAAAGATGCCGAATGGATCTTATACCTCCGCTGCGCTTCTACGAGGAACATGATAATATGACTGAAGAAGTGGATCTGGCTATGATGTACTGGGG